CACCAGACCGCTGTGCTTGAGTGTGTCGCCACAGGCAACCCGCGCCCCATTGTGTCCTGGAGCCGCCTGGGTGAGCCTTGTCCTACAGCCCCTGCCTCTCCCACCCCTGTCCCACCCCCTGGGAGGGCAGTCTCATCACCCAGCTGTGGGGGTGGGGGACTTGGAATCCTGTTTGTTCTCCATGGGGGTCTGTGCTCTCTGGGGCCTTATGGAGGGGTAAGCTTCCCTCTGCTTGGCTGGACTGGGGAGGTCGGCCTGCCCACTACATTCCCCCTCCCCCTGCATGGATGGCTTAGCTCCCTGGGTTACCTCATCCAGTTGGGCCAGTCCTGCTTTGCTGGCATCGGGCTCTCCAGAAACCCTCGGCAGCTCTCCTTCCCCCAGGTCCCTTCCCTCCTGCGTGGCCCTCCCCTCATGACCGTGGCTGTACTCCCCAGCAGTGCAACTCCAGACCCCTCAGAATCTCAGCCAGTTGTCACACACCCTGTCTCCGGGCCCCCCAGTCTCTAGCCTGGCCCCCTAAATCCCCAGCCTAAATCCCTAGGCAGCTGAAGGAGAGAAATGAAAGGGTGCAGATGGGCCCACATTGTCTGAGCGGAAAGGTCACTAGGGGAAGGAGAGTCTGGAGGGGATGGGGTGGGGTCGCATTCACAAGGAGACTGTGCCACATTGTAGCGGCTGAGGGCCCGGGGAAGGAGGGGGCGGCAGGCAGGATAATGGAGTAGATTTCACCACTTCAGCGTCTGAATGGGGAGCGGTCTCCTTGCACTCTGACTGTGCTAATCTGATCCTTGGGTGGGGGGAGGGCCCAGTCCCTGGGAGAGGCTGGAAAGAGTGGCCTCACCATTAGGAGGAGCCCATAGGCACTGCAAGGACCATCTGGTCCAATATTTCCCAAAGCATACAGGGAGGAAAGAATGGCTCGGTGGTCTAACGTCTCACGACTTCGGGAAACAGATTTAACCAGGTCCCTTTAGGTGGGACTTCTCAGAGCCTTTATATTAAAGGGCAGTGTGACAGTCCACACGTGGAATGAAAAATTTGAGCGTGGAACTGTTTTCGAGAGAGACAAACCAGGCTGGGAAACACCCATCTAATCCAAACCCCTTAATTCCCCGAGGGTAAGGAACTTGAAGGTTGCCTGTGAATCGGTGAAAAAGGCAGAATCAGAGCCCAGGTCTCTGCTGCTAGGCAAGTTTTCAGAGCTGCTCCAGCTTCTTCCACAATGCCCTGATGCTTGGGAGGAAGGGTGCAAAGTGAAAGATTAAGGCTCCCTGGAACACAGGTGGAATGCCGAACAATCTGGACCATTCCTCACTTGCCCTCTTCCACGTTCTTCCCCCAACCCCCAGATGGCCGCCCCATTGGGGTGGAGGGCATCCAGGTGCTGGGCACTGGAAATCTTATCATCTCCGACGTGACGGTCCAGCACTCCGGCGTCTATGTCTGCGCGGCCAATAGGCCGGGCACCCGGGTGAGGAGAACAGCGCAGGGCCGGCTGGTGGTACAAGGTAGGGAGCTCCCCGGCCCCACAGCCCTCTCCTCCCGCCCCATTCGTTCCTGGCTTCATCACCAAGCCTGGCCCAAGTTCGGGACCCTGGACTCCTCCTAACCCTGGCCTCTGCCCCTCGCCAGGCCTCCAGGCCAAAAGGCAGCTCCCTCCTCTCCTCCAGGAAGGTGTGTGCTGAGAAGGGGAATGCAGGTCTTGTCTAGGTTATCAGCCCCTCATGTCTCTCTGGGTGCCCGTGCCATCCCCCCCCGCCGCCAGTCATTCCCATTTTATAATCGCTCTTGCTTCCCACACCCCTGTGTTCTTCACACATGTCCCTGTTTTCCTTCACAAACATGTGGCACCTGCATGCTCACACCTGCCTGCACACTCTCAGGTGTTTGTCATTCTCACACTCACACCCTAGCTCCTGCCACGCGCAGGGCTGGTCTCCAGTGCAAAGGGAGGGGGCAAAGGGGGAGGGGCGGGTGTCAGCCTCTGAAGCTGATCACGTCCTCCTGTCCATCCTCCTGCCCTGGGGCTCAACTGTCCCTGTGAACTGGGCTGGGATCCCATTCTCAGGGGCTTTCTGGGGTGGTTCCCTCCCAGAGAGCTGGGGAAGGGGTGGGAGATAGGGGAATTAGGAACTTAAATGCCTGTTTGTTTAGCATTCCATGTGCCGTTAATCTGTCCAAATGAAAGTGATGGAGCATTTCATTTCTCGGGTGTTAATGGAAGCTGGAGGCCTGGGATTGGAGGAGGGGGATATTGCATGTAGGGGCGAGGGGAGCTGGTACTGAGGCTCATCCATCTCCCCGTCATTACAGCCTTCGAGGTGCAGCCAAACCTATTAGCACATTTATTTATTTAACAATTTCCTGAACAGGGAGCTCAGCTTGATTGCTTTCGGATACAAATGTCAGTCTTTTAAATAGTCATTAAAATGGAGTCTTCTCCTGGGTCTGCCTCTCTGGGGCCAGTGAGGTGGGGCTTGTCTTCATCTCCTGCAGCCCGGGCAGGGGGTGGAGGGCGGGCCCCACCTGGAGGGTTCTCAAAGGCTCTGACTCAATGGAGACTTGCGCAACAGGAGCCCACCCTGTCCCTCTACCCTCCCCATCCCTTCACTCACAGCTGTCTAGTGCCCGTCCACCTACCCCTCATGGCTGCTCCCGCTTCTCTCTGCCCCCCGCCCCAGCCCCAGCCGAGTTTGTCCAGCACCCCCAGTCCATCTCCAGGCCAGCTGGGACCACAGCCATGTTCACCTGCCAAGCCCAGGGTGAGCCGCCCCCTCATGTCACGTGGTTGAAGAACGGACAGGTGCTGGGGCCAGGAGGCCACGTCAGGCTCAAGAACAACAACAGGCATGTGGGGGGGGTGGGAATGGGGAAAGCGGTGGGGGGGGGGGTGCGGGGAAGGGGTCCTGGATGTATGGCCTGAGCAGGTTCTGCCCTCCTGTGGGGAAAGAGCGTGAAACTGGATACGGAGGCTTGGGTTTGAGTTCGAGGTCCGACCCTGACTTAGAGGGACCTCAGACAAGTTCTTTGCCTTCTGGAGGGGCTCAGTTTCTCCACCTCTCAAATGGGGTGATCTGGCCAGACCTCAGGGATACTCTGGGAGGAGGAAAGGCTCTAAGGTGCTCCCTCCCCCTGCAGCACTCTGACAATTTCTGGAATTGGCCCTGAGGACGAGGCCATCTACCAGTGTGTGGCCGAGAACAGTGCTGGCTCCTCCCAGGCCAGTGCCAGGCTGACCGTGCTGTGGGCTGAGGGGCTGCCTGGGCCCCCCCTCAATGTAGAGGCGGTCTCCGTGTCATCCACTGAGGTCCGCGTGTCCTGGAATGAGCCCCTGGTCAACACCAAGGAGATTATTGGCTATGTCCTGCACATCAGGAAGGCTGCTGGTGAGTGGGAACTCTGTAGCCCCTTCTTTTTAGTCCCTGTTGATCATCCCTTTCAATCCTGTGTCCCGACCCAACCCCTTCCCTCCCTTGTCCTCCCTGCACCTTGGATGCCCTCATCTCACCAGCGCTGGTAGGACTCCCTCACGTGGCTTACTCTGCCCTACCCTTCACCTCCCCAGACCCTCCGGAGCTGGAGTACCAGGAGGCAGTCAGCAAGAGCACCTTTCAGCACCTGGTGAGCGACCTTGAGCCCTCCACTGCCTACAGCTTCTACATCAAGGCCTACACGCCGAGGGGGGCCAGCTCCGCCTCTGCCCCTGTGCTGACCAGCACCCTGGGCGAAGGTGAGGCCTGGGTGCCGCACGTACTAAGAGTGAGTCCCGGAATCAGCAACCGTGCACGCAAGCTTGCTCACCATGCACCCCCAGTGGGAGCCCCGCCCCGAGGCGGAGTGGGGTCTGGGGCTACCTGAGGAAGGGGCGTCCTTTTCCAATCCACGTAAAGGTGTCCTTGAGCAAGCAGAGGCCCTGGGTCAGAGAGGAACTGCCAGGCTCATGGGGGTCAGGGTCCCGGGTGGCCCGCCCCCTCACATCTCAGCCTCCTCTGCCCGCAGCCCCCGCCCCTCCCCCGCTGTCGGTGCGGGTCGTGGGCAGCTCGTCCCTGCAGCTGCTGTGGGAGCCGTGGCCCCGGCTGGCCCAGCACGAGGGCGGCTTCAGGCTGTTCTACCGCCCAGCGAGCAGAGCCTCCTTCACCGGCCCCATCCTGCTGCCTGCAACCGCCTCCTCCTACAATCTCAGCCAGCTTGGTGAGCCAGACGCAGACCACGCTGGGGGAGCGGGCAGGAGTGTGGTGCCTGGTGCCAGGAGGTGGGGCGCAGGGGTCACCTCTGTTGCCCTGCTGCACCAGAGCTGCCGCTGGGGCCTGGGGAGGTCACTCAGCACAGCACTGCCTTTCCCTCAGACCCCACTACAGTGTATGAGGTGAAGCTGCTTGCCTACAACCAGCACGGGGAGGGCAATGCCACAGTCCGCTTTGTGTCCTTGAGGGGAGCCTCTGAGAGGACAGGTAGGTTGGGGAGCGGTTGCGGGGCTCAAAAGTGGTGCTCAGGAAGGGAGGCCGGGCTCTGGGAGGGGGCGGGGCAGGAGGGGGACAGGGACACTGGGAAGGTGGGAGAGTATAACCGCACATGGAGCCCTTGAGAACACGGGCCTAGAGCTGAGTTTGAGATTCGGCGGTATGACGTTCTAGCTGTGTGACCGTGAGCAAGTTACTTAACCTCTCTGAGCCCCAGTTTTGTCCTCTATAAAACAGGGACTTTATAAAGCCGTGGTAAGGATCAAATGGTCCTTTCATCAATGGTGTAAAAGTGTTATTCCCAGTATTGGGCACAAAGTCAGTACTCAGTAACTTGTAAAGAGAGCCAAAAAAAGTTGGGCTGGGGTCCCATGTAGACATGGAGGCGGGTACAGCTGAGGAAGGAGGATCCCCCAGAAGTTGGGTGTCCACAGGAGCTTAGGGCCAGAGAGCCACAGCTCCCTCCCTTCCCCTGCCCGTAGCCCTGAGCCCACCGTGCGACTGCCGGAAGGAGGAGCCCAGCAACCAGACGTCCACCACAGGCATTGTCATCGGCATCCACATCGGGGTCACCTGCATCATCTTCTGTGTCCTCTTCCTCCTGTTCGGCCAAAGGGGCAGGTGGGTCCCAGGAAGGAGGGTGGGGGTAGCCCAGAGAAGGTCTTTGCGCAGGGGAAAGCAGAGTTGGAGCTGTGTCCAGCCTTCTGTTTTTGCTCCGTCCTTCCAAAGCCTCCCCCTAATTCTTGGCTCACCCCTTAGGGTCCTCTTGTGTAAGGATGTAGAAAACCAGCTCTCCCCTCCTCAGGGCCCCCGGAGCCCAAGGGATCCTAGCATCCTGGCACTGAATGGGGCGGGCCAGGGAGAGCTGGGCCAGCTGGGCCGAGATAAGAAGCGTGTGGACTTGAAAGAACTGGAACAGCTGTTCCCCCCAGCTGGGGCAGCGGGGCGGCCAGACTCCAGACCTGGCCCTAGACACATGGTGAGTGCCCCCACCCCAGGCTCAGACTACGTCCCAGTCCTGCCCTCCCTTCACCTTGCTCATAAGCCAGGGTCATTGGTCTTCACTAAGCTCCAGGTACAGAGCTTGGGCCGGTGCTGCTCTCTGAGTGCCTGAACCAGGCAGGGTGGCCCAGAGTCCCGAGTGGGATTGGGGTCAGGGCCTGACCCTCTGGCTGGGGGCTTTGGGCTCTGACCCTCATGCTGATGCTGGTGGGACTGGCTCTTTCCCCAGCAGGATCCTGGGGACCCTGCCCTATGTGAGGAGACCCAGTTCTCTGTGCTACCACTCGAGGGATTCAGCCTTCTGGAGGAGATGGTGTCAGAAGCCAAGGACCCCAGCGCAGGCCCTGCAGCCTCCCTGCCACCCCAGGACGTAGGCCATGGCCGCCTAGGTGAAGGACAGGCTACCCGGCCTCCCATGGCACCAGCTGCCCAGCCAGCTCGCTCGGGACAGTAGCCAGTGTCTGGCAGGCTCTGGAGGGGGCAACCCCCCATTCTCAGGTCAAAGGCAAGATTTCTCCTGTCATGTGGGACTCGGATGGGGCTTCCCAGCATTTCTGTCCTGATACCCTTAGGGGGTCAAGACCTAAAAGTAGCCTCAGCAGGGATCCCCCCCCCAGGACCTGGAGGGGTTCCTGCAGGAAACTCTCCCTTGGACTAATGTCCCCCCTCACCTCTGCCTCATATCCACATGACATGGAACTGAACTAATGTTTTCCTTTAAAAAAAAAAAAAAAAAAGATGAATTAGACTCCAAAAAACACGCCCTTGCCGTGGCTGGGCCCCTGACACTGTCACCCTCCACCGACCTTGTTTTCTCAGGATGGATTTTTGCTATTTGGCTCTCAGTACCTACCTCAGCCGGAATGAATGTTCTTGAGGGAGCTGGGCCGTGGCCTCAGCACCCCCACCCCACAAAACCCCAAATGCATTCCTACCTCAAACCCCTGTAGGGGCACCCCCTTTCCTTCCCCAGATTATTATCCAGAATTAAAAAAAAAAAAAAAAAAAAAGAAAAAAAAAAAGCACTTCCCCATTTCCAGGTGTGAAAGAAAACCTCTACCTCAAGGCTCGCCAGCTCTCCGGGCCTGTGTTGTATCACTGGACCCTCCTCCTGGCGCCTCTTCCTGCCCGAGACCTTCTACCCTTCCCGAGAGAGGAGGCCAGAGGCTAAGTCACCAGTGGTGGGCCTCTCAGGACCTACAGAAATAAAGATGGAATTAGTCAAAGATAATGTGAAAAAAAAAAAAAAAGCCAAAAATGAGAGGAAATGTGTTCCTTGACGTCTGTCGCTCCACACACCGTCCAGCAGGCTGCTGCCACCACTCCACCCTGTCTCATCTGTCCACTCCGGTTTCGACCCTCTTGGCCAACTGATCCTTGACTGGGATCCCCACAGCTGGCTCCCTGCCTGGGCCTTCCGAGGGTGGGGTGTTGCCCTAAAGCCTGTCTCCTATCCTGTCCAGCCCCAGAGCCCCTGGAGCAGGCTGTCCTCTGGAATGTTGTGTGTGTGTGACCACTGTATGTGGGTGTTGGGTCGGGAGGTTCCCTGGCAGACGTGGCCTGGCCCTCTAGCCCATGGGACTCAGCCGGCCTGACCCAAGCCCTGGACAGTGGAACGACCACTGTCAGCAGATGTGGCTGGAAGATATTTTTATACAAGGTGTGTTTAAAGATTTATGTTCTTGTGACTTCTTGTTTCTCTTTTCTGTTGTGGTGGTTTTTGAAATACTTAAAGTAGGAAGGAAAAAAAAGACCTATTTTTGGTTAACTCATTTTTTTAAATAGAAGGAAAACTTTTTTTTAAAGGAGAAAAAAAATAAGTGTATTCCTTAAGTCTGAGATTAGACCATAAAGTCCCTGATCCCTAACCCTCTAGGGAACCCTCCTCCCCCCAGTTTTAGTTAATTAGATGAAGAAGGTAGAATTTGTGGTGTTTTCCTAGAAGACTGGAGTCCTGTCCATGTGGACTCGGAAAGGGCAGTCTGCCCCTTCTCCCAAATGCTGGGCCTGTGCCAAAGGCCCTCAGAACTCCCACACAGTATCCCCTCTGTCCCTGCATTGGCCTCTCGGCACCCCCAACATCCTGGAAACCCCCTCTTCCATGGGAAGAGTGGTCTGGGGTTGGAACCGCCTGGCCTGACTTTTGTCACACTCTACTCATTTTGACTGAATAAAAGTCCTGTTGCCAAAGTGAACCTTGAGTTTTTTGATGGCTGTGTCAGGTCCTGGGGAAGGGTGGGAGTGCTGGGATTAGGGTGGCCAATGGTGGGGCAGGCTGACCGTGCCAGGGTCAGAGCCCAGAATAACAGCTGCTCCCTGTGTACCACTTACAGGCACCATGCACCCTGGCCCCCACATGGAGGGAGTGTCCTTGGGTCCCCACAACCTTCCGGGGAAGTAGACAGTCTAGTTATCCTCACCATATTTTACAGATGATGAAACTGAGAAAGGATAAGATAAATAAAGGAAATGTCTAAACTCTCACATAGCCAGTTATGGCAGGACCAGAGATTGTGTCTGGATCAGGCCACCCAGTGCCAGGGTCTGTATTCTGACCGCAGCTCTGTACCTCCTTAGCTGGCAGTGAGGAATCTGAGACCAGTCCCTCCATACCGAGCCAGGTACTGCTCATGCACTGTCTACCAGGAGGGACTATTTTTGACTCCAGTCTACAACTGAGGAGCAGGATCTGGCTGTAGTGACTCTTTCCAGGCCATACAGCCATAACTCCTGGCCAGGCCTCTCCATTCCTCCCTGTCTGCTCCTCAGTTCAGACTCCTGAAGCCAGGTGTCTGGAGCTGACAAAGCTTAGGATAGGCCAAAAGAGACTTGGCTTTAAGGTGGTTGTGCTGACAAAGATCTGGAGGTCTCAGTGGGCCTCAAGCCTAGTAAAGGACAGTGGTGCAATACAACTGCTTAGAATGGCAGTGTTGCCTCTACTGTGGAAATGGAGGGCCAATGGGAAGCTCCATAGGTCTAGAGGGCTGCGCTCTGTACCCAGAGGTCCATTTTGCAAGGAGCAAACCAGGACAGTGGTTTGCAAGCTGGGCTTCTCCAGCTGTAGCGAGGGGTTTGGGGGTGAGCCTCTCTGCAGGAGGATTCTATTCTCCCTGCTCGTTCTCAACAAGAACAACCCCACTTTTATCTTGTATGTCAGGCTCTTCATGAGATTTCATTTGAAAACAGTGTTCTGGGGGCACCTGGGGGGCTCAGTCAGTTAAGCATCCAACTCTTGATTTTGGCTCAGGTCATGACCTCAGGGTCGTGAGAGAGAAAACAGGGTTCTGCTCCTAAAAGAACATTTAAAAGCCCCTGTCCTGGCACTTGTAGAAGAGGCCTGCAGGTCAGGCCAGAAACAGTGATGGTGTGTGGACACTGAACTGAGAAAGAGAAGCCTGAGGCCGCCATGGGACCTGTCCTGAGTCTCTGGAGGAAGTGGATGACTTGCCCTGATTTTCCCGGAGAAAAGAGCCAAGCCCAAATAGCGACATAATACCTTACCTTTCTTAACGCAGAACTTTGTAACACAGGAATTCTTTACCACCACCAGCCACCCGAGGGCTGCCTGGGAAGGTGCTGGGTTTGTCATCTGGTCAAGCAGATCCTGCAGGGATGGGAGTAGACGAGGTGAACCCCCAGTGTCTCTGTTCCCTCCAAGAGTCCAAGATGCTACTACCTTCCCCAGGGAGGCATTTGGAAATGTGAAGAAACCACCCCGTATGAAGACACTGGTCCCTATACACACACACAGTCCTGGGGCAGAAAGCAGCCACGGCCTGGGCTTGCAACCGGCTCCAGTGGTCTAATGCTCGGTCACAGGCCACCCCACAACTTAGTGGCTTGATCTAACATCTATTTTGTTCGGACATTTGCAGTCTGGGTGGGGCTCAGCAGGAGAGTTGTCTGCTTTACTGGGCATCATGGCGGCTTGAAGCCGGGGGCTGGACTCATCTGAAGGCTCGCCGGCTCTCATGTCAGGTGGCTGATGCTGGCTGTGGGTCCCACACCCCCATGTGGCCTCTCCAAGTGGCCTGGGCGTCCTCAAAGCATGGTGGCTGGGGTCCAACGACAGGGGGCTAAAGAGAGCCAGGCCGAAGCTGCATCATCACTTCGAATCTAACCTTGGACTGCGCGTGGTGTCACTTCTGCCTTGCTCCATTCATTAGAAGCAAGTCAGTGCGGCCAGCCCTATCCAATGGGAGTACAGTCAACGTTAGGGACCAGTTCTAAAACTATCACAGGACCCCTTCAGGGAACAGGTGGAGAACACGTGGACACCGGGGGCTGGCTGAGCAAGAAGTTATCCCCAAGAGGGCCCAGCCAGAAGGGGCTGCTGCTGGGGCTGCAGGAGGACAGGGGTGCTCCTGAATCCTACACAAGCCCTGTTTATGGGTCACATCCCTATCGTCAGTGAAGAGGGATCCTGGTGTTCAGTCCTGAGGCCACAGGGAGCGGGGACAGGTCCCCGTGAATACCATGGCCCGCTCCCTCTCCACAGGCAGTAAGGGGGCCAAGGAGGCAGGTTCGGGCCTAAGAGCCCCACTAGCCGGGGTTGGTAGAGCCCATAATGCCAGCACTGGAAAGGACCACAGTCTCTCTCATGAGACAGATGCAGGGCAGGAGTAGCTCAAGGGGACAGGGAAGTTAGAGGCAGGGCCAGGGCTGGGACCTGGGATGGCTACACCCTGCGTGGAGCCCTTTCTACTCAGTCAGACCCTCAAAACTGGACTGTGCTCCAGAGCCTAGAGGGAAGGACAGGGAGATAAAGGGTGGTGGGGCAGGGAGTCATCTTGCTCAGGACGGGGAAAGGGGGATCTGGATTGGAAACGGTAAATGAAGGAGTGGGAACAACCAAAGCTGGTTCAGGCCAAGGTCACACAGGGGGAGATCTAGACCCACATCCCTCTCACAAAGAAGTTAATAGGGTCTGATTTGAGAACTCTGTTGCTTCCCTGGCTCTCTTGGGGCCACCCAGGGCACGAAAGGGGAGAGGAGAGGAATGGTGGAGAAAAGGCCCAAGGGAGCCAGGTTGCCCAGAGAGGGGAAGACCTTGCTCCTTGGGTTCAAGAGGGATGTACCCTGGACTTGGGTCTCCCAAGGACACAAATAGTCACCTGTGCCATGTGCCCACTGCCACACCGCAGGGTCTGGCCCTGACCCTCACTCCAAAACGCCCACAGCCCAGGGCTCCTTCTCCCCTGAATGCCTATCACGTCCTGTGCTGTGCAGGTCCCTGCACTTACTTCCTTGCCTTATGATCTGGCTTCCCACAACAGAATTTGTATACCCACGACGACTCAGAAACTGTTGGAGACAGGCATGCAGGAACAGGACATCTAACTGGAATGCTGGGGACACTGTCAGGAAGCTACAAAGAACAAACTCTTTGGCCAATCCCTGGCTAGTACGGTACCATCTTGGGTTAAACAACAGGGGAGTTTTGTGCCTGGAAGTTTGGGGCCATCTCTCCCGTGACTAAGCCCCCCAGTTACTAGGACTACAGCTTGGGTAGGGAGAACTGGAGCCCCAGGAGAAGGAGTGATTTCTCTGCCATGCTCTCCTCACGTGCCACCTTATGGCGGACCTTCTCTAACTCCAGCTGGTGGCTCACTGGCCAGAAACAGCCTTTTGCCTCCTGGGAGGTAGCCCAGAGCTTATGCTCTGTTGTTAAGAATGATGAGCTCTGTCTCTTAGTGAGAAGCATGGCAACCCCTGCAGCTGAGGTGGGGGTCTGGCCCAGGTGGCATCTGACAGATGAGGTCTCAACAATGGGCTCAGCCATTTCCTAATCACGCGACTATGAGGAGCTGACTTGACTTCTTTAGGCCTCAGTTTTCTCATCTGTAAAATCGGGATAAGAGGGGCGCCTGGGTGGCTCAGTGGGTTAAAGCCTCTGCCTTCGGCTCCGGTCATGATCCCAGGTTCCTGGGATCGAGCCCCATGTTGGGCTCTCTGCTCAGCGGGGAGCCTGCTTCCTCCTCTCTCTCTCTCTCTGCCTGCCTCTCTGTCTACTTGTGATCTCTGTCTGTCAAATAAATAAATAAAATCTTTAAAAATAAAAATCGGGATAAGATGCTCCTACCACAAAGGGTTGTTGACTCAGCTGGCTTTTTTTTTTTTAATATTTTTATTTATTTATTTGACAGAG